GCCCGCCGCGCCTGCCCGCCCTCCTGCTGGGCGGCCCCGGGGACGGGAGCCCCGACGGCGACCCCGCGGAGGAGCCCGAGGGGCCCGAAACGGCGCTTCCCGACTTCTCCGACGTGGCGGTCGGTGGCACTTTCGACCGCCTCCACGGTGCCCACCGGCTGCTGCTCAGTGCCTGCTGCCTCCTGGCCCGGCACCGGCTCCTGGCCGGGGTGGCCGACGGCGACCTGCTGCGCCGTGAGTCCCGGGGCTGGGGTGGGGGGAACCGGGGGCGGCCGGCCCTGCTGCCGGTGTGGGGCCCAGGGGTCAGCCTGGGACAGGGCGGCGGGAGGGTCTGGGGGCCTCGTGGTGCTGGGGGTCCCAGCAGCTGTGGACCCAAAGCGCCTGGGTGGTGCCATCCAGGCAGGGTGATGGTGGGCATCACATCTCCCCCAGCGAGCGAGGCACGGGGATGAGAACCTGAGGGTGCAGGGGGAGCGAGGGGGACAGGAGACAAAACCCATCCATGATTTTGGGAGAGTCCTATCTCCATTTCCCGGTCTCACTTTTCTGTCTCGCTCCGGGCCCTGCGTGTTGTTCAACGGACACTCTCTTCCTTCAATGCCTACAAGTATCTCAAGGGAGGGTTGAAGGAGGAGGGAGCCAGACTCTTTTCAGTGGTTCCCAGTGAGAGGACGAGGGGCAACGGGCACAAGTTGGAACAGAAGAGGTTCCACTCAAATATGAGGAGAAACTTCTTCCCAGTGAGGGTGGCAGAGCCCTGGAACAGGCTGCCCAGGGAGGGTGTGGAGTCCCCTTTTTGGAGATTTTCAAGACCCGCCTGGATGCTCCTGAGTAACATGGTCTGACAAGCTCTGGGCAATCCTGCTTCAGCAGGGGAGTTGGACTAGATGATGTCTATGGTCCCTTCCAACTCTAAAATTCAGTGAAATTCCTTCTCCCCCCGCTCCCGGTGCCCGGCAGACAAGGTCCTGGCGGAGCTGATCGAGCCCTACGAGGTGCGGGCGGCGAAGCTGCGCGAGTTCCTGGAGGACGTGAAGCCCTCGCTGCGTTACGACATCGTGCCTCTGGCCGACCCCTACGGCCCCTCGGTCACCGACCCCGACCTGCAGTGCCTGGTGGTCAGCGAGGAGACCCGCAGGGGAGGGGAAGCCGTGAACAAGAAGAGACTGGAAAATGTAATTCCTGCTCCGGAGCCCCCCGGGATGCCCCTTCCCAGCCCTGGCCCTGGCATTGGCTGTGGGCAGATGGGGTCTCAGCCAGCAGCCATGGCTGTTGGGTGCCTCAGGGTGCCATGGCCTGGCCTCGAGGGCAGGATGGCTTTGTCCTGAGCTGTCCCTGGCCGTGTGTGCCCCAGGGGATGGTGCAGCAGCCCCTGTGTGTGGCACGACCCCGGGCAGTGCCACCAGCCCCCCGTGGGGAGAGTCGGGCTCCCATGGCCGGCTCTGTGGGCTCCCTCCCCTCTTGGCTCCTCACAGGGACGGAGCTGCCCTGTGGGGACACCCGGGGGGGGAGGCCACGGCCTCGTTTGTGCTGCTTCGTTCAGGCCTTGACCTCCTGACAAGCCACTTCCCTCCGCTGTGTCCCCGTCCCCAGGGGGGCTGATGGCCCTCGATGCTCTCTTCCCTCGCAGGGGCTCCCCGAGCTGGCTCTCTACGAGATCCTGCTGATGAAGGACCCCGACCACGGGCAGAATGAGGAGGAGAAGATCAGCTCCTCCAGCCTCCGGCAGAGGCTGCTGGGGACGCTGCTGCGGCCCCCACGGGTGAGGGGGGACACGGGCTGCTATGGGTGACAGCCCACCTGGGAGGAGGGGTGGTAGCCTCGGGGGCTGGAGAGCCAGCCCATCCCCTTGCTGCAGGGGGACAAGTTTTGGAGGACTACCTGCCTGTGCTGGCCCCTGGCAGCAGCAGGACCTTCCATGCCCATCTCCAAGCCGGGTGGTCGGGATCCTTCTCCAGCAGAGCCCACACCCTCCGTGGCTGTGGGACGTGGGCTGGCAATGGCTCTCCTTCTTCCCGTAGCAAGACCCCTCTTTGCCTTCCCGCCCGTACGTGATCGGCCTGACCGGAGGAACCGGGAGCGGGAAAACCTCCATCGCCAGACTCCTGGGGCACCTGGGAGCCTTCCTCATCGACGCCGACAAGCTGGGCCACGCCGTCTATGTCCCCGGTGGCCCTGCCTACGAGCGGGTGGTGGCAACCTTTGGGGCAGGTAGAGCCAGGGGAGGCTGGGAGAAGGCAGGAGGGAGGGCTGCGCCATCATCCTCGCGTCCCTGGGGCTGTTCTGGGCTGTGCTCCTCTCCCTCCCCCTGGGCTCCAGGCTCCACAGCACCCACACGGGCTCTGTAGCTGGTTCGGTGATGGTTGGGCTCAAGTGGGGCAAAACCCCACATTCCCCAAGTCTTGTGTGTCCCATGGCAGAGCTGCTGTGAAGACTGAACTGGGCTGTTTGTCTCAGAAAAGCTCTTCCCTGTCCTTCTCTGGAGTGAGGAGAAGAGCTGCTGGTCAGGTCCAGCTGTGGGTCCCTTTGGGAGCTGGTGTCCTCTCTCCCTGACCTATTTCCGTGGGGCAGCGAGTGGGACTCATCCTTCCCAAGCCTGTTCTGCTTCTGTCTTGCAGAAATTGTGAATGAAGACGGGACAATTAACAGGAAAGCCCTTGGGGGCAAAGTGTTTGGAAACCAGGTAAGAGCAGCAGGGAAGCTGTCAATATTTAATCTCTGGAGCGGGGAACTCTCCGTCTGTGCTGAGGCTTTTTATTTTTCAGCCCTTTGAGCTGAAAGGTGACGCCTTCCTGACTGTACTTTCTGGCAGCTACGTGCAGAGAGGGCAGGACACAGAGATCTTGTCTGTGTAACCGTTAGCAGCCGTGCTGGACCCCCTCCTCTCACCCCGGCAGCTGCTGCCACCTCCCCATCCCCATCCCTGTCCCCTCTGTCCTTCACCCAGTGCAGAGAACACCCCTGACGTACGCAGTGCCGCTGCTCCCTGACCCTGCTGTGGTTTGGGCTTGTCCCCACTGGGGCTGGGTGATGCAGCAGCCAAGCCTGACCCCCAGCACCAGGTTTTGCTGGCCGGGCCAGCTCCAGGCCCTTTGCTGGGGTCCTGTGGGCTGTGAAGGTGGCTCAAGGGGTCCCCTGAGACAGACAGGTCCCAGTGGGTGCTGCTGCGAGGGGAGCTCACCGTGCTGCGGGAGGGCTCTTTGCAAAGCACCTCTCACGGGGGACACTGAGGTGCTGCTGGGCAGGGAAAATGATAGGAAAAAGAGCCTCCACCCTATCAGTGGGCATGGGAGACTCTGGTCAGGGTGGAAGCTCATTCTCCATGCTCTGAGTGAGGGGCGATGGGCTGGGTCCATCACCCCTGTGCTTGTGCAGGTCCTTTCTGGGTGCCCTCTGGGGCAGCTGCTGCCACCAGTGGTGCCATGTTGGCTGCCCAGAGGTTCCAAGGGTAACTGACCCCAAATGTGGACTTTTCTAGGAGCAGCTGAAGAGTCTCACGGACATCGTGTGGCCCGAGATAGCGCGGATGGTCAAGGAGCAGATCAGGGAGGCAGATGCTCAAGGTAACTGGGGGATTCCCATCACAGCACAAGGGTGGGCGTTGGGGGCACGGTCCTGTGCAGCACACACAACCCAAAACCTCAGGAATCTGCTGGGCTTGGCAGCACCGAGAGTATTTTCCATGCTCCTCTTCTCTGTGGGGCACCTCGCTGGGGGTTTTCACTAGCACATCCCTGAGCAAACCCCTCGAGCTCAGCTGGGCCAGGCTTTCCTCAGGCTTCCTGCTCCAAAGGAGGGTGGAAGTTGCTTTCTCTTTCCCCCAGGAGTTCATTTTTGAGAAGTGCTGCAGCAGGGAGGGAGCGTGGTGTGTATTCCTCCTGGGAGCAGAATTTTTCCAGCTCTTGGGAGATGCTGTTGGGAGCTCCATAGGCATTTGGCTGAAGGCACTGGCTTCCCGTGCCCAGCAGAGCTGCCACCCCAGGAGTGCCCTTAAAACAAGCACAGCTGCTGGTGGCTGCTCTCTTCCCCACGCTGCTTCTGTGGCTCAGCAGTGAAGCGTCCGTGCTCAGGTGGCCAAGAAGGCCACCAGCATCCTGGCCTGTGTCAGGAACAGCGTGGGGAGTAGGACTCGGGAGGTGATGGTCCCCCTCTGCTCAGGCACTGGTGAGGCCCCACCTTGAGGGCTGTGTCCAGTTTTAGGCCCCTTTTCCACAGAAAAGACATTGAGATGCTGGAGCGGGTCCAGAGAAGGGCAACAAAGCTGGTGAGGGGTCTGGAGCACAAGTCTTATGAGGAGAGGCTGAGGGAGCTGGGGGTGTTCAGCCTGGAGAAGAGGAGGCTGAGGGGAGACCTTATTGCTCTCTCCAACTCCCTGAAAGGAGGGTGTAGAGAGGTGGGGGTCGGTCTCTTCTCCCAAGTCACAGGCGACAGGACGAGAGGAAATGGCCTCAAGTTGCACCAGGGGAGGTTCAGGCTGGATATTAGGAAAAATTTTTTCACTGAAAGGGTTCTCAGGCATTGGAATGGGCTGTCCAGGGAGGTGGTTGAGGCCCCATCCCTGGAGGTGTTCAAAAGACGGGTTGATGTAGTGCTGGGAGGTATGGTTTAGTGATGGCGTTGCTTTTTGTTTGTTGTGGGGGTGTCTATTTTTGTCAGTTAGGTTGGCAGTTGGACAAGATGATCTTTAAGGTCCCTTCCAACCTAGAAGATTCTGTGATTCTCCGAGTGGAAGCAGAGGGGCTGGGGTGGGTGCCGAGGAGCGGTGGCGCTGCCCTGCAATTGCCAGGCTAACGAGGAATGGCCTCCTTCCACAGGAAAGGCCGTGTGCGTGCTGGACGCTGCCGTGCTGCTGGAGGCTGGCTGGCAGGACATGGTCCATGAGGTGTGGACGGCCGTCATCCCCGAGGAGGAGGTGGGTGATGCCCTCAGACCCCTCCCTTCCCAACATATCCCCCCTGGGTGCCTGATGTCCCCTCTGCTCCTGCCAGGCGGTGAAACGCATCATGGCCAGGGACGGGCTGAGCGAGGAGGCCGCTCGCAGCCGCCTGCGGAGCCAGATGAGCAACAGCCAGCGTGTGGAGCAGTCGCAGGTGGTGCTGTGCACCCTCTGGGAGCCAGACATCACCCGTGCGCAGGTGAGCCCTGGGCTGGGGGCTCAGCACTGGGGTCTGCCTCGGGTTGGGGGACGGGGACTGAATTTTTAGAGTTGGAAGGGACCATAGAGACCATCTAGTCCAACTCCCCTGCTGAAGCAGGATTGCCTAGAGCTTGTCAGAGCATGTTACTCAGGAGCATCCAGGTGGGGCTTGAAAATCTCCAAAAAGGGGACTCCACACCCTCCCTGGGCAGCCTGTTCTAGGGCTCTGCCACCCTTACTGGGAAGAAGTTTTTCCTCATATTTCATAGAATCTTAGAACCATAGAATTGCCCAGGCCGGAAGGGACCTCCAAAGGCCATCTAGTCCCACCCCCCCGCAGTCAGCAGGGACACCCCCAACTAGACCAGGTTGCCCAGGGCCTTGTCGAGCCTCTCCTTGAATATCTCCAGGGAAGGGGCCTCAACCACCTCCCTGGACAACCTGTTCCAGTGCTCCACCACCCTCACAGTAAAGAACTTTCTCCTCATCTCCAATCTAAATCTGTTCCCCTCCAGTTTAAAGCCATTGCCCCTCGTCCTGTGACTACAGGCCTTTGGAAACAGGCCCTCCCCAGCCTTCCAGTAGCCCCCTCAGGTACTGGAAGGCTGCTATTAGGTCTCCCTGGAGCCTCCTCTTCTTCAGGCTGAACAACCCCAGCTCCCTCAGCCTGTCCTCGGAGCAGAGGTGCTCCAACCCCCTCATTTGAGTGGAACCTCTTCTGTTCCAACTCGTGCCCATTGCCAAGGAGGGGGTGCCACCCGTGGTGTGCCTGGCCGTGCTGCTCAGTGCCGAGGGGGGAGGAATTTGGGGGTGTCAGTGCAGCAGGGAAGGGACGGGAGGCGTGGGACCCTCCTGTGACACTCCTGCCACGGCGCCCCTCGCCCTGTCCTGCGCTCTGAGGTGCCGCCCCGTATGTGTCTCCGGCAGGTGGAGAAGGCCTGGGACCTGCTGCAGCAGCGCCTGGGCCCCCCGGGCAGCCCCTGAGGGGGTCACGCTCTGTCCCCCCGAACCCCACGGACCCCACACCGGTGGGACGGGAGGGCCCGTGTCCTGCTGCCCTCGGCCTGGAGAGCAGCGAGGGGACCGAACCCGGAGACCGAACCCCCCCCCCACCGCCAGAGGGGCCGGGGACCCCCACGGGCTCCTCGGGCCCCCCCGTGTGACAGTAAAGAGGCTGCTCGCGCTGTGCGTGTCCTGTGC